GGCTGCCTTACTTCCCCTGCCTCACCTAAGCCTGAAACAATGACAGGGCAGCACCATGGTTCCCAACACCTAAGTGACAATTGTGGACATCAGGAATGGCAGTCTTGGACAGGTCTTTCAGAGGGCTCATCACTAAATTAAGTAGAGGACCCACAAATCACAGCATGACTTTTCACCGAAGACCACTTTCAAAGCTCTGTCAGGTGCTAAGTCAAGGAACACATCACACATCAAAGCTGAAAGGTTAGCAATCTGAACCAATTCCCAATCCACTCTGACAGCATTTCATCAGGTTCTCCTATAGCGTCTAAGATTTTTAAATCTACCCCAATAACACATAATCTGGATGGGGTGTTTTTTTTCCTGTGTCTGATGAGGAACATCATCATGTTCCAAAGAAAAAAACAAATTCTCAGCAATGAAGCCTTTTTCACACTTCTGCTCCAGCCCTTCAGTGACTCCTCATCACACTTGGCCAGAGTCCATACCATGACCTAAGGGGCTCCTCAGCCTGGCACTCTGTGCCCTCCATCACTTTATCCCTCGCTCATTGTGTTCCAGGCGCATGGAGCTCAAACACTCTAGGGATACCCTCACGTTAGGGCCTTTGAACTGGCTAGTCCTGCTGTCTAAAATATTCTTCCCCCACATATCAGATACTCCTTATTAAACATTCAGTCTTTGAGCATCCACCCCTCTTTCCAGGCCAAGTATCCTCATCTTGCTACAGTCTTCTTGTTTTCCCATAGTACCTATCACCTATGGAGATAATTCACATACTTACTATGTTCAGTGCTAATTACTTCCTTCCTCCCCCTAGAATGTAAGTTCCAGAGGGCAATACTTTTTTTATCTGATTTGTTCACCACAATACCCCCAGTGCCTGGGAATTGCTCAATAAACGTCTGTTGCAGGAATTAAAAAATTCACAGTAAACCGTACTCCCAGCCATCACCCATCCCTACATTATACATTTAAAATCTTATAACTAATTGATTATTAGCAATGATCCTACAAAGACTTGAAGAGCAAGTGTGATATGGCCTTCAGATTCAGACTTGGACGTGAATCCCTGCTCCATCACTGAACCTACCACCTCTGTGACTTTGGGCCTGAGACTGTTTCCATTCAGAACAATGGAAGTCATGACACCTACCCCTCTGACTGAAAGGACTGAGTGTCATAAGTGTGCAAAATTTTTCACACAACAGTTGTTTGTTAAACGTTAGAAGATCCATCTCCCTTTTCTCCTTCCTCCTTGATTATACAGGAAGAGTTGCTTTCTGTATCTGGGGAAGACTGAACAGGGTTAGGAAAGGATTTTACTTTACATGCCAATCAGTCCATGACAGACATCTGGAGCACAGGTTTGGGAAAGATTCAGCAGCCACGTTCAAATTCAGCTAGAGCGGGCACCGTGCTTACCCTGGCATTGGAGGGGAGGAGGGTGGCATCTGAAGAGAATCTGCCCCCCTGGGTTTAATGGCTTACACTACTGCCTCACAGAACAACCTCTGCTTCTCAGAACACTCGTTCAATTTTCTAGCATAACTGTGAGAGGAGCTAGGTTACACCAGCGTCAATTGTAGAATTATTTCTGGGGTTAAGGAAAGCTTTAAGGAATGAGTGTCCCTGATGACAGTGACCCACCCACCTGGGGAAGAGCGGTTCCTGTCCAGGCTAGTCCCAGGACAGTCTGTTCAGTTTTACGAGTGTCCCGACTGATGCTGAGATGTAGGCCCCGTGGGAGATTTATGTCAGAACTCCTGCAACTAGCGGCCCCTCCTACCTCACGCCAAGTCTACCACCAGTAGAGGCCTCACTTCCATACCAGCCTCAGAGAGCACTTCCTCTGGAATGGGGGTGACTGGGCTGGGCACCCAGGACCACAGTAACCGCAGCACAGCCCACATTCCTCAGACAGGAATGAAAGCAGTCTCCTCTGCAGAGGCTGATCCAGAATCAGAGTATCTGATCCAATGCATTGCTTCACTGAGTAGCTTCAAGTTTCAAATACAAAAGACCAAAAAAAAAAAAAAAACAGAGGAGGAAAGTCTGGGCGCTTGCTTTGTTTTTTTCTTTGTATGGATTTTTTTTATCACACTAAAACTGGAAACAATCAGAGGAGTCAGAATTGTATGCAAAGATGTTCTCTCAGCTTTTGGCAAAATTCATGTGAAGCCAAAGCTCAGAGGACAGAACGGAGCCAAGGACTTAAAATCTCTTAGAAAAGGCAGGAAATGCCACTCAGCAGGACTCCACCATGTCCTGGTAAGTTTGTGTAAACTTGGTGCTTGAGGTAAACCAAGTAATTAATGGCTATGAAACCACTGCTCTGTCATTCACTTGGCCCAGGACCCTAAAGTACAGGCATCTGGTAAAGAACAGTTCAGCAAATGGTCTGCATACCACTTCTAAATGCGTACCTATAAACGTCTGTTGTTCAGGTATATTCTTGACCATTCTGCCAGGACAAGTAATCACAATTCTACGAACTCAGAAACCTATAAAAACAATGCCGAACTGTCTTCTTTTTTTTTTTTTTTTTGATTCTGTTATTCTGCTTCAGGTCTATCTTTCAATATTTAAAAAGATTTATTCTCACATGGACTAAGTGATGCATATAATGAGCAGGCTTTCAAAATTTTAACTTTTTTGCCATTTGTATCAGAATGTCTCAAATATTTTTCCCTATAAATATTCAGTTGGGGGCAACAGTAAGAATGACAAAACAAGTTTATTTTGAGAAACAGAGCCAACGTTCTCAACAGCCTTGACCCTTCTTTGTACACAATCCAATCTGGCAGATGTACGGATCCTTTGAAAAGACCCACAACTGGCTGCAGCAAGTCTCCTTCACTGTGAATGTCCCATCACTGGAGTCCACGGAGCAGTCGGCATGAACGTAAATGTCTGTGTCGGACGGCGCAAGGCTTAGATTATACACGGATGTGGCAAAATGTCATCCAATCCAATTTCTCAATTTTTTCTTAGACCAAGTGGTCAGTGGGCTGGGGCCACTGACCTACATTTACCTATAATGCAGGCTGGGCAGCCATGTTTGAGAACTCTGTATTTATTTGAATGGCGTATGTACCCCATGCCATATTTATTGCCTAAGCTCAGGGACAAGGTCAAAGGCAGAACACCGTCAATGATCTGCCAAACACGCATCATGACGTTATGCTCAGAGTGGCCCTGTTCATCTTCAGGATGGAGTTAGGACACTGTCAGTCACTCCTTCACCTGCACAAACGGACTTGGCTGCCACTTTCACACTCAAGCCTATTTTCTAGAAGAAAAATCTAAGTCGTCAAATCGCAGTTTCATTACCACTTACTCCAGTGTTTCGGGTAGACTAGTTGAAAATACAGTTATATAAATCCTATGCAGTTACGGGTGCCTTCAGACGCTTCCGAATGGCAGTAAGCATAAACCATCCAACTTTTGCATGACTAACTCAACTTCAACCAAATGAGCTCTGGTTTTCTAAACCACTTCTAATCAATTTAGGCTGCTCGCCAATACTTAGTTCTCTCCTCCCTGGCACATGGTAGGATTATACTTCTGACCCTGTCATACCTAGCAAGGGTATGTGACTTGCTTTACAACAAATGCCATCTGTGCCACCTCCAAAAGGAAGCACTGAAAGCCAGTGCCATCTAACCACATCAGCTTCTTCCTCCACCACAGTGACATCAACGTTCCCAGTGTGGCTGCTCCACCAGCCTGAATGAAGGTGACAAAAATACACAATACAGACATGTAAGCAAGAAATACACATCATTCTATATCACTGAGGCACTGGGAGTCATTTGTTATGGCAACGTGAGCTAATAGATACACAATAACCTGACTGAAACACCAACCCTTTACAGGAAAGATACCAGGACATTAAATACTATGGCAAATGTTACTTTAATCCAAAACAGGAGAATCTGGGGCTGTATCTGTTGTATTACCCAATAGTGTATATATGTGGATATATAGAGATTTCTCTCCTACCCTCTCCACAATAAAAATAAATATGTAAATAAATCTTCAAATCAATTGAATAATAATCTGAATATTTAAAAAATCAGTGCTCAAAAATCTCAACAATGCAGAGTTCCCCCATCAAAAAGGAGCTTGACCCATTTGTCAAAATCATTTGCAGAGTTCCACTTCTTTTTTATGACCAAGCACATTAAACAAGCACAGAGGTTCAAAGGGGCTTCATTGTGAGTGATCCAACAGACGAGAATCAATTAGCCGCCAATGGCTCCTTTGCGATTGAAGAGGGCCAGGCTGACCCAAAAGGATGGAACTAAACAAAAAGGGAACTGTCCAAGTAAAAGCAGCATTTGGGAGCCTAAAACAAACCAATAAAGCTGTCCCACGCTCTCATTTCCAAGAGTAAGGGTGAGCCAAGCACACGTGTGTTTACTCACTTGTAAGAAGATGCAAATATCCCACATCTGATTGATTTCTTATGTGCTATGACCATTAAAATGTTTGTGTCTGGAATACACATTTGTTTGAGCATTGCGCTCAACTGTGGCAACTTATAAACCTGATCACACATACTACACCTATGATGTATGTTTCCCTTTGAAACAATGTAACTGTGGGAGGGATTTTTTTCTTTATTGCAGGGAGAAATTGCTTACATTTTCTCATTCAAGTACGTGAAGAACTCCCCATTTTTAATTTACAGAGCTTTTAACTGGTGACTGAGTGAGGAATGATGTCACGTGTTATCCTGCCCGGCTGGTGTGGTTCTCCCTGCTCACTTAAACCATTCCCCTCCTCTGCGGCAGACAGTCCTCCCCAGTTTCCATCCTTTCATCAGCCTCTTCCCAGCCAGCCACAGGCAAACAGCTTCCCAGTAGTGGACGAAACAGGAAGTCTGACAGCTTGAGTCTGCAGCGGGACCCCTAGTGTTTTCCCACTCCATGTCCTGGCAGCGTTCCCCAGAAGTACAAACACACACACACACAGAGCTCCCATTGTTGCAGCCTTCCCCAGCCCACTGATCCTAATATGGAATGCAGCAGGAAACCCATGATTTCCTGACACTCGGCAAGCTGGAGGAAGCAAGGGGAAAACTCCATTAAAAAGCCCAGCTTCCCTCCATGTTAGATGTGAAGTGGAAAATGGGGAAGATTCAGCAAAATTCCACCGTGTCTTCAGCCAGGCTGGAGAGGGGGAGAGCAGAGTGAAACCCTCAGGCTGTTGAAATTTCCAAACTTCCAGGAAGCCTCTAAAACTCAGTGAAAATGAGGGTTTCTGAACTCAATCTGATAGGGAAACGTAACAGACCCTTTTAAGAATTCTCCCAAGTGTGTGTTACCTTTCTTCACCAGCATGGGAAGTGAGAGGGCACGTGCCAGCTGCCTCGGACAAGTCTGCATGGTCCCAGGTACCCAAAGTAAGGCAAAGTGATCTCAGCCTGGCTCTGGCTTCCCAGCGTTTCACGGGCTTTGGGAGAAGCAGGAGACTCAGCAACAGCAGCAGCACAATCACAGCAGCTGGAGCCGCAAGAATGAACTGCAAGGAGGGAAATGACAGCAGCTGCAGCTGCGGTGGCAGCGAGGAGAAGAAGATGTTGAAGTGTGTGGTGGTCGGGGACGGCGCTGTGGGAAAAACCTGCCTGCTGATGAGCTATGCCAATGATGCCTTCCCAGAGGAGTATGTGCCCACCGTGTTTGATCACTATGCAGGTAAGAAAAGGTGAAGACCTGCCTGTGCGCGCGGGGGGAGTGATGCAGGAGGCGACACCCCAGCTGCACGGGGGCCTGGCTGATCTCTAATGTCAGTATCGGGTGCAGGCCTGGCAAGACCCAGGTAGCTTAGCTTAACATGCAATCAAGAACTTCCCTGTAGTTATTATGAGAAAAATTTGTACGTCAATCTGTAATGTAACACTTTTTCCACCCCCTTAAAACAAATGAATAATACTGAGGAAATACCCTGAAATGTCCTCTAGGCTTTAGGGCCAGAGATTTAACACAACATGTGCCTGAGATCTATCAACTTTTTATTGTGAACATTTTAAAATGTAGTGTAATCCATCACAGTTGTTTTTTACAGAAAAAAAAACACTTCCACTAATCACACAGCTGGTGAAAGACGTGTTCTTGCCACCACTTCCCTATACTCATCTCATGCCATTCATAAATGAAAATGCTATAATTAATAAGCATTTGAACTTTTATTTTTCTATAATAATCAGTTCTGTACCACTGTACTTTAATTTCCCTGGGGTTGTGGGCAGGAGGAAAGAATTAAAAGAGTTTAAATATCTACGAGGCAATCTGTATCTTGAAGGAAAAAAACTTTAATTGATAGGTTTTAAAAAGTAAAAATAAAGATAAAAATTAAGTTGGAAACATTTTAAAGTATGTCCCCAAAAGACAAAATTTGGGATGAAATATTTTAAAGTATGACAGTTGACATACCATAGTCATAATTTAATTCTTTCAGGTATATATATATTTTTTTAAGTGTTCAAAAGTTTGTAGTATGACAGTTTATCAGTGTAATACCTTATCTAAACTTGTCCATTTTACTCTTCCTTTTTCTCTTAATTTCCAAAACAAACCTTATTAAATTTCTTAAAAGCAAGTTAATGAAATTCTTCAGAAGTTTACAATAGCCTAGATTTTATAACTTTCTTTAACATAGTGATCAGCTTGGTGATCAGCTTGGATCCATAGAGATCGGAGGTTTTGTAAGAGGAAAATTTCCTTCACCTTGGTTTTGGGTCAGATTCAGCAAAGGGGAAATGGCCCACAGGGAAATGGCCCACAGGAAACCTGTGCATGTGTTAGCTTTGGTATGTGGCCATTTGGAATCCTCTTTCTGCAGGAAGTAGCTTCTTTTCCAGAGCTAAACAATCACCTAAGTCCCCACCTCTCCCCCATTTACATGATTTATGGCAATATTACATAGCAGACAAGGAGAGAACCACATTATCCATTTCCCAGCAGGCTTTTCTGTATTTGTAGAAATTAAGAGCAGATTTGAATACTGGCTCCTTTTTGCTTTTCTAAAAATATAATGACTATGCCCAGAGAAGAATATTCTAATGAAAACAGAATAAAGAAAAGAACAGGTAAGCTTTCACTTTGAGGGAAAAAAATGAAGTATGAAATTAGGGGGTCTGCAATTAAAGAAGGTTATTAGGATAGTTGACCTGTAAACGTTTTAGCAAAGGTTATTTACTCTACACCCTCTTTCTGCCAAAAAGGGAAAATTGGGTGGTACCTAATTCCAAAACCTTTTAGATGAAAGATGGAACCCCAAATCTACTAAAGGGAGAGGTTTCAAGTGCTTCTGAAAATTACATATCCCATACCCATCTACTGGGCAAACCAATTACAGTGTAGTGTCACAAAGAGAATAAAACCAACTTTATAGGAAAAGTCAGCCTATTAAAAAAAAATAGAAATCCACCACCATTGGGGTCAAATTATGTTATATTTCAATCGTGTGCATCCTTATTTTTACGAGCATCAGAGCTTCTTATAGATTTCGGCTACTCGATTTTAGCTCTCAAGAAATCACAGTCACTACACCCAAAGCAATAATTTGCACGCAGTAGGCTTTGCCAAGCATCATTGCTTCAACCTTGCACCTTTTTAAGTGTGTGATCTTTTCATGTGCTTTCACTTAGACTACAGGGGAAATGAAGACATGAGCCACATGCAACTAGAATAGTAATGAAGTGAACATTTCCATCAATGAAGGGATCTCCTCCATCACAAAGACTCTAGCTCCTTTTACAGCCATCCTCTAAACATATGAGCCAAATTTCTATACAGTCGTGTGAGATCTATAACTAATTATAAAAAATCAAATGCTGTCTTCTTAATGTGGAGAAGCAACAAGTGTCCAGTACCTGAGTCCTACCAGACTATTCTGAGATGACAGCTGCATGCAACTGGTTTACTGAGTCTTTAGAAAATTGCAGTTCAAGCTAAAGAGAGGCATGTTTCACACTACCTGACATTATGTTTCTATTTATTTTCTTACCACTTTTATCCACACAAAAATGTAAATTCTGTAAGGGCAAGGACTCTGTCTTGTTCACTGTTCTATCCCCACCTTCTAAAACAGAGTCCCACATAGACTCTCAATACACAGATAGTAGTGAATAAATGGATTAGTATTTTTTAATCATCTTCAGCCCTGCAGTGTTGAGACACTTCCTGGTCCATAAAAACTTCTGATGAATAAATGAACAAATTGCTGGTCTAATAGATATCTCTCTAGGAATGAGCATATGAAAATATTTAATACATGTATTATATTTTTTATCTACTTTGTTCACATATTAAATAATTATTTTCTCTCTGTTGGAATTGTAATACATCATTGAATTTCTTGGCCTAAGTGGCCAATATCAAATCTGTCAAACATGTAACTCTAAATGTATAAATTTCATTTGGTAACAAATGAGATGTGCTCAAATTCCTCCACACATCCAAAAGCCTGCCTAAATTTGGTGTGGCATACTCAAACACTTAAGTTCTTATATGAAGAGCATCTTCCAGAGCAGCCCCAAGTTTAACTAAGGGCTAGGACTAAAATGAGGGGCAGCAGGATGATGGTGGAAAGGGCCACTTATGCTATTTACAAGTGCACCTAAGAAATATCTCTGTGCCCTGCGTCCTCCTCTCCAGGAACACTGAAGATGCCCTAATAGCCGCTAGAGTTTTCACAGCCTACCACGGAACCACTGCATTCCTTCTCCATCCTATCTTTACCCTATCTTTAGCTTTGAGTTTTGAGGAAGACCCTTCACTGAGAAAGTACTGTCAATTAATATTTCACGCAACATGACAACAAAAGGATAGAACTTCCATTTTGAGCTTAGCTGGACTGCATGTTGAGTTAGACTATGTCCGTGATTTGTATGTTTAGGTGTATGGGTGTGTGAAATAATCCCACTCGGGTGAGGCCTGGGCAAGATGTACCTCCTGCACCATTTCCATCACCCTCAGAACTAGAGCTGATTTTGTTCTCAGTTCTTCCTTCTATCACCCATCCCTCCTAGAGGTTGTTGAGACCACCTATGTTTGGGATATCATGTTAAGTTACTACTTCCAAGCTTAGGCTGCCTATGCAGGAAATTAACACAATTCATGGAAGGAGGGGTGCGGAATCTAGTTGCTCTGTCAACTGAGTGATACAAAAAGAAGTTTTACAGAGAGGTTAAAGGCAATTCTAATTTTTTCCACCTAATTAAATGGTGATTGGTCCAAGGTAGACTCGATCACAACCATAATGGCCAGAGCAGAGGGAGAGTCCAATTCACATGGGGAAAAAATAATATAAAAGAATAAAAAATGAATAAAAACAAAGTTCCAGACCTATAACGGGTTGTGACACAGTCCTGCCCATTTGGGAATATTTACTCAGCAGTTTCTCTTGTTCTGTCTGAAGACACCTGAGAGTTTCTGAAGAATGGATGAGGTTCATTTTTTTTTTGTAAGACAAAAGGAAACCCAAAACACCTCTCTTGGGACTTTGAAATAGAGTATAGGGATTTTAACTTGAGACAAAAATATAAAAGAAATTCGTGAAAGAGGAGAAAAGAATGGGGCGGAGAATCATTCACTCTGTCCCTTCTAAATGCAGTAACGCATAAAACCCAGACTCACAGAGATCCAACCCCCCAGATCTCTTTTTTGAGGCAGTGTGGTGTGTGTCTAATGCTTTCTCTGGACTCTTAGAGATGACGTCAAAGGTATAGTGGCAGGAATGACACGGAGTTTTTCCCACAGTCTACACTGCACTGCATGTGAGAGCAACTGAGTGCAGAGACTCCAGGGGTAGAAAATAAACTCAGAAAGCAAGAGTATACTGCAGAGGTGGGAAGTTGTGACCTGCTTCTCTTAGATGTAAAAAAGAAGAAAAAAAGAGAAAATTAAGTACCTGTGACTAGAGTGACCCAAGGAAAGCCATGCTCTTCCAGGTTAGAAACTGTATCTGCAGTCCATAACCCTCCTGCATCCCAGCTGTAGCTGGCCACAAACCAAGGACTTCAACCAATTCAGGCAGCAGGGGACAGGCCCCTGGTGACCAAGGCTTTGAGTTCCATGGGGCCTGGCTCCTTTCACTGTCTGGGCTAGGAAATGCTTCATAAATTTTACTACTTAACTGCCCATTTAGGTTGGGCTTCAGGTAAACAGTATTTTATTTGTGCGATAGCTTTCTCAAAATCTGCCATCTCTTTCTCTTCTTATGAGTCAAACAGCAAATTTGGCTCAGAGAGCGTTCAGTACAGTGGGTGTCTGTTTTTGGATAGAGGTGGCCTGGTCTACAAAAGCAGCATGAAGGTGGACAACACACATAAGGCGTCTCAGGAAAGGACAGGGAAGAAAATGCAGCAGAAACCGTCTCCCTCATCTATCATGAGAATAAGATCACAAGGATTATGGACGCCCTACCCTCTGTGTAAGGACACAGGTTCTGATAAGGTGGAAAATTTACCTTACCACAAACAAAAAAACCACACCACCCTTTGGGTTAGTTCACAGAATCCAAACAGTTAATTTTCTGGGTGTAACACAGGATAAATCCCATCACGAATTCAGTAGGGACCATCTGTGAGTCATAGAGTAGGCTGGAGTCATTGCTGAATATTCCGAACTTTTTGGATGTGTTCAATCTTCACAAAACAAAAAGAGCTGATTCATGTGTGAATTCACTCAGC